AAGTAACACAACATTGAAACTTGCCATTGCGGTAGGTGATGTAGGTCACGACACACGTAGTGATGAGCTATGGACTAGGGTTAATTGTACAGATACATTTGCTGTACCCAAAAGAGACCATGACGTTTTTGAGAAAACGGAGTGATGTTTCTGGGTCGTTTCTGTTGCATGCCATATATGGGATGCAACTTTCATATAGCTGTAATTTCGTGTCGCGGTGTATCGCCGGTCGTAAATCACGTGGCAGATTCGCAAATACCGAATTTTTTCGACGAACACTTTCATGTGATGTGAATCACGTAATTGAGCGCCTTAGAAAAATAGAACGAGGCAGGTAAAGCTCTGTTCTTAATTTACCTTATATTCTGTTATTTGTTGTGATTTTGGAGTGCTCGCACTGATTATTTATCAGGCGTTTATGTACTATTTAAAACACGAGTAGGAGTGTTTTATCAGATATATAACGCGAGGCGCAGCCGAGCGTTATATATCTGATAAAACACGACAACGAATGTTTTGAATAGCTTAAAATACGAATACAAAAGAATACTAATTAGGATGAACCATTATATAATCATACTAATGAGGATGAACCATTATATAATGCCTCATGCTCTATCAGATATAAAGTCATTCCACGTGACATATTATGGCTGACATGATTTGCCAAAAGGTTTATGAATTATTAATGAGTATTTTAAATTTATATATCGTCAAAGCGGCAGGTACAAAACGCAGGTTGCAGATTGGAATTTCGCAGGTTGGGAATTTTGCAGGTTGCCAGGAATTTTGCAGGTTGATCATGCAAATTTAAAATTACACCACCATAAACTACATATTCTAGTAATTTAATTGTGTACTTATTGCAGTCTGACTTCTTGTCCGCGCATTTGATGTCAGCCTATCCTGCTGCCATGTTCCTAGCCACTGCTCTAAGGAGTGGCCATCACCCCCGTGAAAACCTTCTAAATGACCAGATTGGCTTGGACGTACAGGGGGACGAGTGTCTGGTTGCGAGGCCCCCAAGCCACTTCGTACCCACAGCTTCTGACGTTTCTGTGCTTGTGGCTCTTACTGTCGTTCCAATTGAAGTGTTGCTGAAATATTGATTCAATACATTACCTCGGGCTGACCAATTCATTTGATCAAGTTCCTCGAGATATTCATACACTTCCTGTGAAAGAGCCAATTCCAAGTATTTGATCATTTCTGGTCACTCCCTTTCTATTTATGATTGGTTAGTTGCACAAACAACAAAGGTGATTGGTGCATTGAAACTATTCAACAGGAAGTTTACAATTATACTAGGAAGTGTATGAATATCTCGAGGAACTTGATGAAATGAATTGGTCAGCCCGAGGTAATGTATTGAATCAATATTTGAGCAACACTTCAATTGGAACGACAGTAGCAGAATTGAAACTGCAAAATACACTTCTATTTCCTATAAACTAATATAATGTTTATCACGGGGGTGATGACCACTCCTTAGAGCAGAGGCCAGCAACATGGCAGCAGGATAGGCTGATATCAAAAGCGTGGACAAGGAATCTGCATTAAGTACACAATTAAATTACTAGAATAGTTTATAATGATGTAATTTTAAATTTGCATGATCAACCTGCAAAATTCTTGGCAACCTGCAAAATTCCAACCTGCAACCTGCGTTTTGTACCTGCCGTCGTGAAAGGCCAATACTCATTTTTTATATGCTCAAATTGAAACGGAGCCTTTGCGCTCGCACTGATTATATTGTGTGCAAAACTTCAAAACTACATTGCAAACTACATGAAATATAATCAAAATATCAAACAAAATTTAATTAGTACAACGAAATTGCATTCTACTTCGATAATTTCAATTACAGTCGAGATTATTTTCAATGTATTATAGCAATCCACCATTTCCACGGGTTTTTATACCTTCAAAAAGCAACAATAAAGCCAAGTTTGTAGGAAATAACATCATTTAGTTATAATAATAACATCATTTAACAACAGGGTCTCCATAAGGGCCTTAGATAGATAATAAGTTAAAACTACAATCACGTACAAAAATAATGAGACTTTACGTATTTCAAACATTTTTTTTCATTTTGACACATCTACACTCAATATAATTCGATCTTTTCTTACTATTTCCCCCCTCCATTGACAATGTTGGGTGAATGTTTTCAGCCAACACTGTAGTTTGGTATCATGGTAACAACATTGTTTTTTTGGGGGGAAGCGGGGGTGGGGGGCGAATAGGTCGTCTAGAAAAGTTTTGCTCCTGATTGTAGGGGAATTTTGTTATTTTTAGTAGCATTAGACACATGGTTTCCGAGGCTCTACGAGACCTTCAAAAATGTAGTCTCTAAGAGAAAGAGAGATAGCATAGCTAAGTTAGACAAAAGAGTTTCTTTTGACTTGTGGCCTGGAAGTCTTAGTAATCACTGAAACTAAAATATGTTTTAACTGCAATGAGACGGAGAGTGTGATTGGGGTGGAAAATAAAAGATACCTATTAGCATTAGTGGTCGCTTGTAGAACACAGAAGTTACCAGCTTTTTGTTTGCCATTGATTAATACAAATATATCTAAGAACGATACACTGATCTCTTTGTGAACTTAGTAATGGATGGAAGTTATTAACAAACGGTTAATAAGCTGCAACTTTTAGACACGAAATAAGACACGATACTGGCCAAGACAGTCATAGACGTTTCTACTAAGATAATTGGGTATGGAATAAGTATACTGTTGCAAGATCTGTTTTTGAACAAAATTGTCATAGTTTGGACCAATTTTAGTTTCAATTAAAGGTGCCGTACAGACCGTTCGTAAACAAGGGCTTTGTTTACATTTCGGTATCCAAAATAGTGAATTTTGTTCGACAACTATTTATATATTTTCATGATTCTAGAGTATAATAAATTATCAACAGACAACAATCAAGCTTTGCAAGAACATAAAATGAAATATAAACCTAAATAAACTGTTTGTAGATAAAAAGAGGGCTCCTTTGTGCACATGCGCAGATCGGACTGTACCGCATCTTTAAGAGATACACCCCCAACCTTGTTCCCAGGCTCTTTCCTCTTGTTGCAAAGAGGAAAGAGCCTGGGAACGAGGTTGATACACCCCTTACTTTTTAATAATGCTCACCGTTACAGGAAAATTATTGAGGGAGGGAACCAACTCAGCCAATCTGATCAAAACAGTAACGCACGGGGTTTTTTAAACCACTTGTTTAAAAGTCATTAAACCATCATGATGTGAAATTACAGTGTACAAAATTTGACATCCATTATATTGTGAAAATGAATTTAATCTAAAGCTAGCAATATAGCACACAATGTATGATTCTGTACAATGCACGCAAATGATGCCACAACGTATACGCATTTTATGAAATCCTGCTTTCTGTAGGATTCCTTACAACTCTACTGATAAAAATTTAACAATTAGAATTGATAGTTATAATTGTACATTAAACAACAACGCAAATCGACATGATTAATTGATTATCTTGAATTCAAGTATCTAATGTCAGTCAAGTGGCACAACTCAGAACTCTTTATTCATTTCATCAAGTGAAACAGACACCAAAATCCCTTTTGTATACATGTTGAAAATGTCGAAATTTTCGAAAATGTTCGCCACTGCGGATAGTATGCGATTACCCAAGTGCCATGACACGATCAAGATAATTACTGCGGATGAGTTAGGTGACACAGGCAATTCATGAGGCAGCGAGTCTAGTGCCTGGATTGTCACTGTAAGATTATAACCATGATTTTGCTGGTTGTGTGATATTCAAACCCATTATACATGTAGCAACTTTTGCCTTTCTAAAATTTATTTATATATTGGATGTTTCTTTAGGATAATTGAATAGTATACCTATATATATAGTAGATCGGTTTTTGTAGATGAAATTTTCGATGCAAATTTATATACTTTTCTTAGATCCAACCAGCAACGTACATGCAGTTGTACGTAAAATCGAAGTATAGCTAATGCCATGAGTAGAACTGTATGGGTAAATATCGAGATTTTTGCCCATACACCTTCTTCTCCCATCTCCATATTTACCCATGTATACCTTCTATATATTGATATCATGCCATTGTATTATGTATATACATAAATGTGTGGTTAATGCTCAAGAACTGGACTCTGTAGCTTATTTAGTAAGAGTGTTGTACCGGAGACGCAGGGCCACAGGTTCCATTCCTGCCAGAGAGCCTATTTTTACATTTTTCAACGGCCAGACCGGTCAGAAGGGTCAAATCGTTGAATGGAACACAAAACGTTTGGGCTTCAGACCTATCTGACCAGAAAATTTAGATAAAATTAGAATGAAGTCCAGTTTCGATAGATATTTGAGAAACATAGACCAGATCTTTCCATTGATTGATACAGAGAAAAGAATTCGGGTCTGACCGGTCAGGCCGTGGAATGGAAAGTGCCCAAGGTGTATTAGTGTTAGTTATTAAAGGTGTATGTAGCTTTCTTCTGTCGTACGAGTTTTCTGACATCAACAGACGTCGACAGTACTTTCACATCTTACTCCCTGTATCCCCCCCCCCCTAAATTCCTATATCAAATATATTGCGAAATATAGTTTACATTTATTGTTTCCAGTTTTTTTAAAAATAAATCCATCTTATTGGTTTATAATTACAACATGATCGATTTTATATCCTCTATAGTATTAACAGTATATCGTCTACCATTAACAGCATTCCCCGACCATTAACTTCCAGCTATGCTTCCAGACAAAGGGCCTCTGCTCAAAGCCTCTTTTTTATTTTTCAGGTAGCTGTATCATATCATCTTCTCGCAGACGTCACTGACATCCAACATTAAAGATAAAATATATTTATTATGGTAACATCATTCACAATTATTTGATTAAACATTTAGAGGTACCCATTCGTGGAGAGATAGATATTTGGCTTTATCTAACTAATTAATTATTTATATATGCCTTTGCTTTTAGTTAAAGATAATTTAATGGCTTCCAAAAATGACGGAGACCTCGTAGAGCATTACAAAAAATCTTTAGAAATCAGCACTGCAAATCGTGATCCGTTAGGAATAGCAAATAACAATGGGTATTTAGGTGATGCGTATATTAGCTTAGAAAACTATAAGATGGCCATTGAGTATTATGAAAAAAGTTTGGAAATGTCCACTGAAATCGGCCATTGGTTTGGAATAGCAACAAGCAATATGAAGTTGGGCAATGCATATCTTAATTTAGCGCAATATGAAAAAGCAATAACCTGTTGTGAAAAAAGCTTAGAAATAAGCCTTAGAATTCGTAATCCATCAGTAATAGCAAATTGTAATTGCATTTTGGGCATTGTATATCGTTACATGGGGAAGTATAAAGAAGCTATTAGCTATTGCAAGAAAGCGTTAGAAATAAGCACAGCTATTGATGATCAGTCAGGGATAGCAAACAATAATGAAAATTTGGGCATTACTTATTTTAAGTTAGGTGAATATCAAAATGCCCTTGACTGTTACAAGAAAAGTTTGGAAATAAGCACTGCTATTGGCAATTGGTCAGTAATAGCGAGTAACAATGGAAATTTGGGCGATGCCTCTCAAGAGCTAGGAGAAAATACAAAGGCCATTTACTATTACAAAAAGGTTTTAGAAATATGCACAGCTATTGGCAATCGGCCAGGAATGGCAAATCACAATAGCAATTTCGCAAGTGCCTATTGTAGATTAGGAGATCAAGGTTTAGAAATAAACACTGCTGTTGGTGATCGGTTAGGAGCGGCAAGTATCAATGGCAATTTGGCCAAAGCCTATTATAATTTGGGAGAATATCAAAAAGCCACTAACTATTACGAAAAAGGTTTAGAAATAAGCACTGCCATTGACAGTCTGTCAGGAGTGGCAAAGAACCTTTGCGGGTTGGGCAATGTTTGTCGTAGTCTAGGAAAATATCAAAAAGCCATTGACTATTATGAGAAAGGTTTAGAGATAAGCACTAATGTTGGCTACCGGCTAGCAACAGAAATTATCAATATCAATTTGGGCCATGCCTATTGTAATCTAGGAGAATATGAAAAAGCCATTGACTGTTACGAAAAAGGTTTAGAAATAAGCACTGCTATTGGCAGTCGGTCAGGAGTGGCAAGAGAGCTTTGGAGTTTGGGCAACGTCTATCTTAGTCTAGGAAAATATCATAAATCCATTGACAATTATGAAAAAGGTTTAGAGATAAGCACTGCTATTGGCTATCGGCCAGCAATAGCAACTATCAATCGCAATTTGGGCGACAACTATTCTAATCTAGGAGAATATGAAAAAGCCATTGAATATTACGAAAAAAGTTTAAAAATAAGCATTGCTATTGGCAATAAATCAGAAGTGGCAACAAACTTTTGCAATTTGAGCAATGCCTATCTTAGACGAGAAAAATATGAAAAAGCCCTTGACTGTTGCAAAAAAGGTTTAGAAATAAGCAATTCTATTGGCGATCAGTCCACAACAGCGATTATCAATGGGAATTTGGGCGATGTCTATGTTGTTCTAGGGGAATATAAAAAAGCCATTGACTGTTGCAAAAAAGGTTTAGAAATAAGCACTTCTATTGGCGATCAGTCCACAACAGCGAATATCAATGGCGCTTTGGGTAGTGCGTATTCTAATCTAGGAGAATATCAAAAAGCCATTGACTATTACGAAAATGGTTTAGAAATAAGCACTACTATTGGCAATCAGGCAGGAGTAGCAAATAACACTACCAATTTGAGCAATGCCTATCTTAGCCTAGGAGAATTTCAAAAAGCCATTGACTATTGCAAAAACGGTTTGAAAATATGCACTGCTATAGGCGATCGGTCAGGAATAGCAAATAACAATAGCAATTTGGGCAATGCCTACTTTCAATTAGGAGAGTATCAGAAGGCACGTGACTGTTACAAAACAGGTTTGGCAATAAACACCGATATTGGCTGTCAGTTAGGAATAGCAAATAACAATGGCAATTTGGGCAAAGTCTATCTTAAGCTAGGAGAATATCAAAAAGCCATTGACTTTTACAAAAAGAGTTTAGGAATAAGCACAGCAATTGGTGATCAGTCCGGAATAGCAAGAAGCAACAGCAATCTGGGTGATGCCTATCTTTTTTTAAAAGAATATGAAAAGGCAATTGAGTTCTACACAAAAGGTTTAGAAATAAGAACTACTATTGGCGATCAACAAGGAATGGCAAATGACAATGGCAGTTTGGGCACTAGCTATCAAATTTTAAGAGAATTTGATAAGGCAATTGTATATTACAAAAAAGGGTTAGAAATAAGCACTGCTATTGGCGCTATGTCAAAAATCGCAGATATTAATAGCAATTTGGGCAATGTGTATCGACGTTTAGGGGAGTATGAAGTTGCATCATCATACGTAGCAGAATCAATTAGCCACTTTGATAGAATCTTTTTAAAATCGGTTCCAGATCAAAATAAAATCTCTTTCAGAAAAAGGTATTTCAAGTCCCATGAATTGTTAATGAGTTGCTTCCTTTCGTTGGAGCGCATTAAATCAGCATTATTAGTTATTGACCTTGGTAGGGCAAAAGAGCTCCATTGTTGCATTGAGAAACATAATAATCCCGTGGACAAGGACATGTTCTCTTATGCACGTGTGATATGGAATAGAATCCAGGCCAGAGAAGAGCACACAGAAATTGAAGAAATGCAAAAAGCGCTCCACCTAGATAAAAGTGATGCCTCAATTTTAGTATTCGCGTTCGATTTTAAAGGGCTTCTTAATGTTTGGGTTTTAAAAGACGAAGTTATTTTTAGAAAATTAGATGTATGTTTAGAAACATTTTTTTGGCTAACTAAAAGGGTAAATGTTTCTGTTAATCGAAATTCTACGTTTTACATGCTCGATGCAGGTGCTAATACTAATAATCAAATTACTTTCCCCTTGGAAATGCAAAGCGAAGAACTTGCAGCTAAAAATTTAGTTGAATACGGTGCTAAATATGATGTTTTAAGTGATCGCGAAATTTTAGAAAAATTGTTTCAACTTTTAGTTGATCCTGTAAAGGATCTCGTCAATGGAAATAAGCTTATTGTTGTCCCTGACCAGCTATTGTTTTTCGTTCCATTTTCTTCGTTGGTTGACGAAAATGGCTATTATTTGTCCAATAGTTACAGTGTTCAAATTACACCTTCACTGCACACCCTCAGATGTAGCATGGAACGATCCAATGACTCAAATTTTGGTTTTGCGTTGTTTGTTGGTAATCCAGCTGTTGGAAACGTTTCTTTAAATGGGAAAGACTTTACACCCTATGACTTACCTAATGCCGCTGAAGAAGTTAAATGTCTCTCCAAGCTTTTTCAGGCTACCCGTTTATTAGGACATGAAGCAAGAAAACAGGTCGTATTGCAACTTTTAAGTGGGGCTAGTATAATCCATATCGCTGCCCATGGCGAACCAAAACGAGGTGAAATAATGCTTGCTCCAAATGCTTCTCAGGTGCAACCATGTTTGTCTGTTCCCGAACCGGAGTCATATCTTCTCACGCAGAAAGATATTATGAATGTTTCTGTGCAAGCTTCCTTGGTAGTTTTATGTTGTTGTCATACCGGGCAAGGTGAAATTACTTCAGAAGGTGTCATAGGTATAACTCGAGCATTTCTTGCAGCCGGAACGCGCTGTGTTCTTGCCACACTATGGTCCATTGACGATAATGCCACAAAGGAGTTTATGGAAAAATTCTATGGCGAACTTTGTCAAGAAACATCAGTTTGTGAATCTTTAAGAAAGACAATGAACTTCTTCCAGAAACACGAAAAAGAGGAGTACCAATCCAGAAGGATCTGGGCTCCATTTACTATCTATGGGGAAGACGTGAATTTTCGAAAAAATGAGATTGAATCAATAAGAAAAAAATCACGTGAAATGTTTTCTGATTTCGTTATACTACCTTAAAGTAGGTGACTAGCGTTTCAATTATAATCATTGAAGTTGATGGGTTGATGATATACAGTACTTGTTGATTTATGTTAGTGGGTTAATATATATATATATATATATATATATATATATATATATATATATATATATATATATATATATATATATATATATATATATACAGCTAATTCAAAAAAGGTTGTCCTTTGCAAACCTTAAACTCTAAACCTTAAACCTTAAACTCTAAGCGCGCAAAGCATAATGGGAGCACAAATTTCAAGCTTAGCAGTTGTATATTGCAGCTGTTTGTGAGTGAAATGTTTTTGCAGGGAGACGTGTACCATCTCTCTGAGAAATGGGCTCAATATATGCTTTCTAAACTGCTTGAATCGTGCTCCCATTACGCTTTGCGCGCTTAGAGTTTAAGGTTTAAGGTTTTAAAGTTTAAGGTTTGCAAAGGACAACCTTTATTGAATTAGCTGTATATACATACATATATATATATATATATATATATATATATATATATATATATATATATATATATATATATATATATATATATATATATATATATACCGAACTTGAATACTTGAATAGATAGATTTAACCACAGGTTTTGTGTTTGACTGTTTGTGGAGATTATAGAATTGTATTGTCCTTGCTCTAGCTGCATGAGTATACTGATACTTGATACTCTGCCAACTGATAAATTGATTAAATGCGTTGCAAAATCTACATCTATCATATCAAAGTTTTCATAGCTTGTACATAAATATAGTTTAGCGATCAATATATAGTTGTTTCATGTTCACTAAAAAGATTCATTTTCCTAAAACAAATATTTATTACTCTTACAGCCCATGTTTCACCTTAATTTGATAAGAATAAAATCTATTACATCTACTACAATTTTAATTTTACCGTTCTATTCATAGTATTACTTTGGTACGAGTTGAGTCGTTTGCAATTTTTAGTTCAGTTTTGTAGCTATACTTTCCTCCACTTTCGTCCCATTCATATAACCAGACTTTTCTGTTATTTATGAGCAGATATTTTCCAAAGTTGGACGGTGGGTGCCGTGGACAAGATGTGAATGGTCTACAGTAAGCCAACAAGGAACAATAAGCTATCGCCGCACGTATTAGATGAATTCAAACTTGACCGGGAATAAGACTCGCGAGATTTGGCTGGAGTCAGCTTTACTAGGAATTCGAGCTTTTCCTTTGATACATTTGAACATTTTCTTCTAAACAAAACAAGCGGGAAGCGCAAGGGTGAATGTCGCAATAACACTTTTTTCCGGAAGAGCTTCAGTAGCTCTATTAATTTTTGCTCATTCATGACACTTGCAAACCCTTATTTGCTGCATGCTTAATTAAATTTTTAAAAATCGGTGTTGTTTGGTTTTCAAGCATGGTTAACAAAATTTCGTCTGCATTCCTCGGTTTATTTGGGCGTGAAACGTAAGAGGACTGTATATGGTGTGATACAGACTTCTCAAAAGCAAATTCTATGTCTCCATTTCAATTTGCGTTACGGAGCTGGAGTTATGGATCGAAAAAATAAAACAGAATATTTGTTAAATGGCTTTGTTAAACTCAGCTGTAAAAAATCATTGCAGCAAATCTTATATAATGGTTTTTATTGCAAAATTGGTTACATTCATTATCTTCATTTTTCTTTTTGCAACAAGCTAACTATTGATGTTTTCACTGGTTTAATTTCATGAAAATGATCGTAAGAGTTCAAAATTGGACTTAAAGTAACTAATTGACTCATGCATGCACTGTACCAGCAAACTGCAACAACGCAAGCTAACATTGTTCTTATTCGACATTTCTTTGATATACCAGAAGTCTTAATCGTTTCTGACACGATATAGCCTGGAAATGTTGAATGACATTGTTAGTTTCTGTAGTTTCGATTGTTTTAGATAATTCGAGTAGATATATAGTATTTATTTTGTTTTCATAAGAACTCTCAATTGATCTCACGAAAGTTTGTCCAAACTTGGCCAAGAAAACTGACCTAAAATATTTTATCAAATTAATTGCAGGTAGCTATTTAATTTTATGCATGTTATACCCAAGCTAAGGTAATTTCATGCATTCCCATCAATTCCTTTCACTATAAATAGAAACTTCATTACTTTGATTACTGATGTTCTCAAAATTTCAAAACGATACTTCAAAACGTTCTATCTTAGCATGTAGCCATAGGCTAATTGTAGGAAGGTTTTCAGTTAAATGAACGTATTTTTGCCAAGTTTGTATAGATTTTAATCGAGAGAAAGAATTAAACAGGATGCTTTTCAACTTTTATACGAATACGCATATTTAAGTGTGTGACACAGCCCATGCAGTATTTAGTTCTGTATTTGTAAAAATAGTATGCAATCATAGCAAATGGTATGAAGCAAGCGTTTGGCAAAAACAAAACATCAGCCTCGTGTTGCGGTCTTGGGTTGATGAAAGAACAACATATGTGTATTTTATTTGTTTGTGCCTTTGATGAAGAACATGATCGAAAGACCATTCTATATCCCTGATGTACCATACAAGCGTTTACCAATGACAATACCATGGTTTTATTGTGCGAACATCTGGCAAAGAAATGTGTACTTATCATACACATACGTGCAACATCTCAATACCTTGCGGAAAAAGATCAATTTCTTAATTCACCGGATCACTAACTAGAACACAATCTTGAAATGGAAACAGGACGCATATGAACTTCTAACGTAGAAAACATAGTTTAGCTTGTGATACTGTTCAGTATTTTCTCCTGTATTTGTGAAAAATAACGGTCGAAAGTCAACGACGATTCTGCGACGTGATGGAAGATTGATGGAGAGTAAAACTCTTAATTAAAAAGAAATACTACGAACAAAATGTCAACCTTGGTCCTAGTTCCTTAGGCGTGACAAGGAACAAGATGTGTTCTTCACTCGTATATATATCCTAACTGAAGAGAGATATGAGAAAGTAAATTAATGGCTAAAATACATTACGAAAGCTAAAAGTCCGTAAAGCAATAACGTCATGTTTACCGAAAAAATCTGTATACCTTCAAGATCTACACACCAATTTACTTGATCATTTCCAGCGGAGTTTATAAACTACGTCGTGCCCTTTTCGTTATGCCATAAAAGCTAATATATTAAACATTACAAAGGCAAAGGGTCGGGTGATGCGACTCTACAAAATTTTGTACGCTCCAGGACCAGTGGGAGATTAGTCGAGGATTGAAAGACTAAATGCAAATAACTGTTATATTGGTTGGAGAAATTAAAAAAACACATACCACGAGCACCTTGTGTTGGCCCTGATTTACAAGTTTATAACCACCAAGATACAAATATTTTCTTTACTGAAAGAACTAAAGTAGCGATTATACAGTTTTGTAACGGTAGATAATTTACACTGGTTTGAAATGCTGGAAATAAAACTCTTATTCAGGGAGTACCAACCTAGCTTTATACCAACCTGCTGCTTATTGAAAGTTTCGAAAGGACGTCCTTGTAATAACGAAACCGTCTAAAGAATCCCTAGTGGTCATGAGAACGTTTCAAAATATTTGGGATGATCGGCCCAGATTGAAATAATCATTGACATAGTGACTATATGACTGTATGTACATATCCATGTGGTACAATTGGGGTGTTGCTGGCACCACACGAAGGGAAGTACACCAAAACGTTGGTCAGAGTGTTGATAAAGATAGATAACTAAGAACATTATGAACGAAACTTGTTCTTTCTATACGTATAACTCTACATTTTAGAAGCATGTACTCATTGTTAATTTCAAGTGGGGTTCGTTTGCTGTGGAGTTCAATGAGGTACAAAATAATACCACTGAAGTTAAATGACCTCTTTAAAATTAACAGTGAGCTAGTGGTACTACATCATCATTTAATTTTCTACCATCTTTATTGATGTCTTCCTCATATAATGAATATACTACCACAATAAAGTATGAGAGCTGTTAGAAGTGACAGGAGGCGCTTGAAGATATCTTGTAAGAACAAAATTTTTATAGCATTCTTAGATAATCGTTGTAATCATCGAGGATGAGATTTGAGCATATATCAACGTTCGACCAAAACTTTAGCATTTCAAAAGTATACTAGTCTTGTCTGCGTTTAGCTTTTATTCGTCCCACACCTCTGATATTCTGACGCCTCCCAGACAATTTAATATTTTACAAGACGAAACACAGTCCGCGAAAGCCAGTAAAATTATGGTTTCGAAATGTTTCCGAAGTGTTGTATTTATCATGCATGTATTTCCTAAAATGTTTTTTTTCTGGATTTTGTTTCGTCTTACACTTTGTAGAACAAAATTTATTGTCTCTTTTAATATTGCTAGCGTTAGCAGTAAACGTAAATTAAGAACGTGAAATTCAAAAGGGACAAAAAAACTTATAATTGATCTTGATATTCTATATTGTTTTTTAATTAATAGTATATATTAATGCATGTTTTAAACGTGTACACATGTATTTTTGAATTCGTTTGAATACATTGTGTTAAAATAAAAGTGAAATAATTTCCAGTCAACTGATCCACTGTTTACAGTGAATTAATATATTCATTAATGTATGCTTTATGTACTGTTTAATAAACGAGTAGGAGTGTTTTATTAGGTTTAAAGACACGAGCGCGCAGCGCGAGTGGCTTTAGACCTAATAAAACACGACCTGCGAGTTTATTAAACGGCTTCAAACACGACTACAAATTCAATAGATATACTGCCTTATTAGTATTCTTTATATAAAGAATACTAAAGAGCGAGGACACGACTACAATAGATACTGCCTTATTAGTATTCTTTAAATAAAGAATACTAATTAGGAGTGTTTTATCAGGTTTAAAGCCACTGCACGTGACATATTATGGTTGACATGATTTGCCAATAAGCTTATGAATTATTAATGTTTGAATGACTGAATCATTAATAGCTCTATAAATAGCTACTAATAAATTGAATAAATTATCTACTAATGAACGCACTCTGAATGGTGATTCAAATTAATCACCATGCAGTGAATGTCGTGATAATGGTTTGACTGATGTTTAATGGCGGCTCTACAGTATATGGAGTTACTAATGAGTTCAACTAGCAAAGCAAATTAAACCACTATTATATAGTGTCACCATGCACTGCATATCAATTTTTGTCCCTAATTAATATTTCTATTCCCAAAATTCTTAGCGAGAGGGGGGAGAGGGTTGTTTGCCGGTCTGAACCTAAAAAAAATCCCGGACATAATATATTTCATGCATTATCTTTTGGGTTGACGTATCGTTACTCGTTTAATCGGCAAATTTGAGCTATAATGTTTTCAGCTAAACGAAGAAAACTTGTTTTTAGAAATTAAAATCATAATCCAAAACGTACGTATTTTTGCCAAGTTTGTATAGACTCCATGGAATTGAGAGATCGAAACAGGATGCATATCAGCTTCTATACGAGTTCATTATCTTTTGACTTGACGTATACCGCCACTCGTTTAGTTTTTCCTTAATGTTTCCGAGATACAACTACCTGACGACTGGGGAGAGGGGGTTATTCCATTTTTTTAATTGAGTATCAAGAATTGCAAACTAGCGGCTCAGGCGATGACAGAATCGCGTACCAGTAATCCGACCAGGGTATTTGACATCCCAGAGCGTCAAAAAAGCCTTAAGAGTTTGTAGTGATAGAAATTACGAGATGCAAACCGAGTTCGCCGTTGGACGATCAGGAAAACCATGCAATGGTCAAGACGTTGGGTTGGATCAAATCAAACGGTCACACAATTACAGAAAACTGATGACGCAAGTTGAACGAGCTGTTATTAAAGCTGGACGACCGCGATAAATATTGAAACCAGCTATAAGCGATTTTAAGAGTCCGTCTCTGTAATTTCCGACCACTCGATACTGGTTCAAAAATAAACCCAGCCTTAAACTTTGTGTGTGGATTAAGAAACCCTTGCTTATCATCAATACAAAAGGGGTTTGTTTCAAATTTCAAAAGATTTCGATATTTGGGCAATCTTACGTGTGTACGTCGAAGCACGAAATTAGCATCGCTGCAACACACAAAAATTAGTCATCTTTGTCACGTTCTCGCGCTCTCAAAAATGATTCAATCCGAGATATACTCTGCAGGCCTGCAGTTTATTACACTAGCTCAGCATTTATGAACTCAAACTTTGGATGTCTTAAAACAACTTGGAGATAGTGCCGACTATAAATACGCGGCTAATCGACCGGGTGAAAAAGTAGCATTTCTAAATATATATTTTCTCCATACTGGCACAACTCTACTTATCAAGAGTTGTACACGCTTAATAATTACGAATAACAGCACTAGTTTCCGTAAAAACATCCATGGCTATCATCACTGGGACAAAATAAAACAAATTTGAAATGTGAGGATTTTACATACCTGCGCACGCTAGTTACGGCAATTTACATTCATAATTATCCGCTACAAATCGTAAAACATGCTAATTTTATACTAAATAAATGCTCTCGAAAAACAACAACGTTCCGCCATCTTGGATTCTCACACGTGTTTTTTTACCCTATTTATCCCTACATATCCACATTTATAATGTCCTGTCCGTCTCTATCTCTAGATATCAACTTGAATTACCGCTTGTCCGTCTATATCCCTACATTTTCCCACAGGATAAATCAA